GCCTAGATGAGGCTGGTGGGCGACGGCAGGATTGACCCTCCAGGTCATGTTGCTAGCCAGTCAATTTTGTGAAAAACTGCACCAACGTTGCACCAGAAAAACCTAATTGATGTTGTAAAACACTTCTTCTTTTCCACCGTATCAACACTGAAACAATTTTTTTTGCGAAAAGGACCTCAAAATGATATTGAAACCAAGCAGCGATACAAAGCACCACAATGAACAAGAAAATAGCAAATAGGTCCCCGAGTACCATCCAACCGCTCCTTCCGTAGTATCGATGCACATGTACTCGACAGGCGATGACTGCTAGAAATTGGATCAATCTTTCTGCTTTTTCTAGAATCACTTGTAAGTTTATCCAAACTCGATAATCATTATAGGTAGAATGCTTTGGATCATAGACTCTAGAATTACACAATAACTCCTATTACTGAGAATTACACAGATGTTTTCCTGGAGACTTGTTCTCCGTGGTGACAATCCTTGCAACATGACCTGCTAACAAGACGTCGGCAAAGATAATGCAATCAGACTGTAGTCGTAGCGCCGCCATCCATATATCAGCACCAAACTTGACTACCTTCAAAGATTTCTGAAAAGCCCCATGAGTCGCACATCTAAAAGATGAAAGCCATGAGCATTTAACGTGCTTGGGACGGAGATGGTCCTCTAGAAGTGCAGCTGGTCGAATCGCAAAATCTTATCCAAGATGTTGGAGAAGCACACTGAGGCCAAAAGAGATCGGACCAACAAAAGCATCATACACTTACACAAACTCATCAGATCCGCATGAATGCACCTGCGAGAAAAAAACAAATTCTACAAGACTGAACTTGTGAAGACAAGACAAATCTCGCTCTATGGCGTTACCCAGTGGAGATTCCATGTGTAAGTTGTGGGGTCACCTGACCGCTACTTCTTATAGGCGTTGGGATTCCCCGAAGAGGAAGGGTAATGTAGTATAGTAGGAGACAGTATTTCCCTCGTTAAAAATCAAGATTCATCGGACCAGTAGGATACACCACACAAACAAGATAAGCGGTACCTGCACACAGACAAAGCAAAAGCATGCATCAAACAAAGGCAAGAGGGTTGCCAATCTTTTTGTTCTTGCCAATTGCAAGGATTAAATCTGATAGTGGTACATATATAAAATAAAAACAAAAATAAAACAGCGAGCAATTTTTAGGGTTTTAGTAAATATGGAAAATGGACCTGGGGGCATAGGTTCACTATAGGCATCTCTCTCATGAGCATAGCAACAACGGGTACACAAATTATTGTTAGACAATTGACATAAATAGTGCATAGTTATGATGATTCCTCGTGGCATGATCAATATATACGCATTACGTCAGTGACAGTAGACTATATACTCCAACTACATCTACTACTATTACTCCATCCAATACCGCTATCGAGCATGCATCTCACAGTATTAATTTCATGACAAACAAAGTAACGCTTTAAGCAAGATAACATAATGTAGACAAAGTAAGATCAAGTAATATGTTCGAACACCATTATTTTATCCTTAGTAGCAACAATACAATACATGTCTTTGCAACTCCTCCTGTCACAGAGTAAGACACCACAAGATTGAACCTACTACCAAGCACCTCTCCCACTGAAGATAGATCGATCTAATTGGCCAAAGAAGATAGATAGATCGGAGAGAAATACAAGGCTATAAATCAAACATAAATAAATCTCAGAAAAGACTCCAATACTTTCATAATAATCTGATCAAAAAGCCACAATTTGCCGGATCCCAACAACATACCGCGAGCATTACATCGAATAGATCTCCAAAGAGATCATTGTATTGAAGATAAAAAAAAGAGAAAGCCATCTAAATACTACTATGGACCCGTAGATCCTCTGGGAACTACTTACACATCATCATGGAGGTAGCAAGGTCGATGAAGATTGCCTCCCCAAGGTTTCCCCAACCATAAGAGTACCGGAAAAGGCCTCCGGATGGGATCGTGGAATAACAGAGCCTTGTGGCGGCAATAAAATTGTTTTGGATCTTGCTCCGGAGTTTAGGGATTTTAGGGAATTTATAATCCAGATATTAGGTCAAACGGAGCCATGTGGCCCCCTAAGGGCTAATGGCGCCCCCTGGGGTGCGCTGCTTGAGCTTGTCTCTCCCTTGTGTGTCTTCTGGTCTCTGCCCAAAGATTCTAGGGTCTTTTTGGTCCAGAAAAAACACCGAATAGTTTCATTGTGTTTGGACTTTGTTTGGTATGGTTTTTCTACGAAACAAAGAAATATGCAAAAAAAAACAGTAACTCACACTTGGCACTGAATTAATAGGTTAGTCCACAAGTGATATAAAATGGCATATGAAGCATACAAGATTGGTAATATAATAGCATGAAACAATACAAAATTATTGATACGTTGAAGACATATCAACATCCCAAAGCTTAGTTCCTACTCGTCGTCGAGTAGGTAAATGATAAAAAGTAAAAAAATGATGTCAAATGCTACCTAACATGTCTTAATCATGTAATTTTCTTGGGGTATGAATGGTGGGAAGCGATGACTTAATAGATATCAAAATGATAATATGCAAGAATGCTAGAAAATAATCATTACCCTTCAAAATTAAGAGTGCTAAAGAATGTTATTCCTAATCATTTAATCATGTAAGCATGGCATAGCCCGGTCTTCCTTGCATAAAGTATAAATCATGAAGACCCCGGTGCCAAACCAAGCAATACATGAGTGTGAGTCATGGACTTAGCACTTTTGATGGCCAAGAGAATGATGGTAGGGGTCTATAAGGGAAGACAAAAGGTTGAGAAAGTCTTGCATCAACTCGGCGGATCATCAAACAATGGAGAGGCCTTACAATTGTATCAACGCGAGAAGTAGGGACTGTCGTGCAATGGATTCACTAGAGCTATAAGTGTATGAAAACTCTCTATATGAAAATAAGTGGATGTGCATCCAACTTGCTTGCTCATGAAGACCTCGAGCATTTGAGGAACCTCGTCATCGGAATATACCGGCCAAATTCTATAATTTAAAAATCCCACTAGTATACGAAAGTGGCGGATGCGTCATCGTGGGGGCATCAGGCATCACGGGGGTAGCGACCACCGTCGTGTCGTTCGGAGACAAGCGATGCAACAAGGATGCTGTGGGTGCTCACATCCATGACGATGCTCCACGACTAGCCGTCGGGTGACCACCGCAAATCGGTCATACCACTGAGAGTCAGGGCACTAGCTACCGGCGGCCGCAATGACAGTCGGGTACAACTGCGCCCCCTCATCGTCGCAAAAATTAAGGAGGACGTCAAGCTCCTTGCCACACAGTTGGGCGGCTCGTGACTTCAAGCAGAGGGGTCAAGGTGTGCGATGCGATGGACGCGCTGAAGAACGATGATGACACATACTTGCGCCTGTTGTGACCAAAAAATAGTCTTTTTGGTTCTAAGGGCTAAAAATGGCTCCAACAACAACCGTCAAAAGTGAAACCTCCCATCATCGTATCGCCTCCCACTGTGATTGCCTTCGGCAACCGTTACACGATGGAAGGCACATCAGACGCGACCACTGCTCCCGCCGCACCCGTAGGCGACCCTCCTGTGGTACATGGGGGGGGGGGAATGGCAACAAGTCGATGGCCATCCACCACCACAAACCGTTGTCGCGGACAGCGGTGAGAGGCCAAAGACCCCGCGCCATTGGAGCCAAGCCTCCCCTACATGCAAAGAAGGTCAACACGGGATCCATCGGCCATGGCTGTAGCTGCCCACATGAAGAAGAAGACGGTGGCAACCCCAACACTGCCGAACCCTCCCACGGTGGTTGTGGATCCACCAGTGCCACCTACGGCCTCTTCACCCCCTCCTACCACCACTAGCAAACCATTTATATTCCTTAAGAGCACCTGTCGGGTGGTAGGTGTGACATATGCCAATGGGTGGCTAATCATTGTGGGAGCCAGTAAGACATCGCCGGTGCCTGGAAACGGGATAAGGCGAAGACATGCACGCCGGCGAATCTTACCCAGGTTTGGGGCTCTTCTAGGAGATAACACCCCTAGTCTTGCTCTGCGGGATCTCCGCATGATCTCTAGATCAACAAGTAGCTACAAGAGGCTCCTTGAGCTGT